ACTGAAACAGTCATGAAAATTGTGTTCATTAGGAGAAAGAGAAATAAAAAACATGAAAAAGAGCTAAAAAAATGCTGTTGTTTCAGTAACAAGTTAAAAATGATCTGATTTTTTATGCAGTGTTGTTGTGGCATATCAGTAATTAGCCACCACCCAAGCATGATGTAGGCCATCAATTAACGTTGCAAAATTCATTCATTTGCACACAAGAAGACCTTTGCTGAATGTAAAACACACTTGTAGGTTATTATTATGGGTTTCCCATCTTCATGGGACACAAAGTTTTGGTGATGATGGAGAAGAGGATGATTAGATTGGTGCTGGTTAGTGGTGATAAGTAGCTACATGAGAAGAAGAGGTGCTCGCTACAGTTAGAAGGTATCATGTGACCGGTTAGAACTGGGAGTGGTGGGAGAGGCTTAGCGAGGATGACATCTACTGATAAAGTTGTCTACCTCCTTGGCTAACTTTGATACGGGCAGCGTGCTAGGCACCACTGAGGGGGCTTCAGTTGTGAAGTCGGGTTTAAGTGTGAGCAGCTCCGTCGTGGTTCTGTCAAGCACTTGGGTGGAAAAGACGTTAAAGGTGGTCTCAACGTCTGGTAGGCCTGTGGGCTGGAAGGGTTTCTGTGACTGAAACTCTGGAGCAGCTGTAGGTGTTCTTAGGAAGCCTTCCTCAAGACCTTCATCTTCATGCTTTTTCTTTCTGGAGCCCTTCTTGCCCTTGCCTTTTCGTTTTCCTTTAGAGCTTTTGTCCCTCTTCTTCTTGTTCTTTTTTCTGTTCCTCTCCTCTTTTGGTTCCTTCTTTTCTTCAGCTGGTTGGTCACTTTGCACTGAAGCATCAAACTCAAGTTGAGAGAGCTTTTATAAAGTAACGGATGAGGGCAGAGGGAGGGGAAGAACAAACACTGCTGTGAATGAGAACATACTTCAGGGAATAGCCTGTTACAAGACAGTCAAACAGCGACACCGACAGTCAGACCCCTGCTAAAAGGTCTGCTAGTGAAAATATGGAGCAAACAGAACATAAGAGGAAATAAACACTTCTTTAAAACATGAAAAAAACTGAAAACATCCGAATGTGTGATCAGACCCCACAAAGTGTAAATTATCAGCCCACTCCAGCAGAGAGCCTGTATCAAGAACAAGATTAATGTCCAATGTGCACCAGTTATATGAATGACCTCTGTCTGAAAGTGATGCTGAAGGCCGAGTCTGTGCTAGGCATGATAGGATTTAGATTCCCTATACATGACCAGTGGGTGGGAATGTGATGGGAAGTAGGTCAGTCACTTGACGGATGTGGACCTCCTCCGGACCGAAAGCTCATCGCTCGGCTGTAGTTATATAAAAGACAGCTGAATGTCTTGAACTTCATTATTAAAGACCAGCCACATCAGTAAGTTATAGATACGATTTCAACACTGATGTTAGCTGTAACTCCTTAAAATCTCTGGATAAAAATAGACCCCATGTACCCAAAGCAAATGCAATTTTTAAATTTCCTCTAGCAAAAATCACACATGCAAGAGGTCCAACTTCAGTTCATAAAATAAAAACATGCCAGGAAGCAAAACTGCAACCACTAAACAAAATGGCTGTTCTCAGTCTGAAAGCCATGTGTCCAAAAGATTCATCTTTAACAGTAAAGACTTTTAAAGACTGATAAGAAAAATATTTAGATATTTATATAATTTTACTGAGAGATAAAAAAAAAGTTAAAAATTATATTTTGCTTGATGTTTAGAAAAGTCAAACCTAGCAGGCTGTGTTGACCTCCAAGATGCACTGAGCAACAGAGGTAAATGTCTGTTTTTCTGTTTTGTGTAAATAAGTTTGCGCACATCATCAATCACAAAGCCACAAATTGAGCTGCAGAATGCTAAATCCAGCAGCAAAAGCTGGTGATAAGTGCTTGAAATGCACTTCATGACACCTTCTTTATTCCTGCCAATCTCTGCAGCACAGAGACATCTATTCAGCATGGACAAGGCCAGACAGCTCTAAATCCTTCACTATTAGAGCCAAACTGATTTAATCCAGATATGTACAGTTTAAATGTCAGTGATGACACAACTCTGTTGCTATGCTCAAACACAACACACAGGAGCTAAGCTAAAACTATCACCCTGAACCACACACACACACACACACACACACTTCTGCCTTCTTCCTCCTCACCTTTTTCATTCACCACCACTGACATGTATAATCATCCACATCCCTGATAGGTTCATTTTTAAACTTGCCTCGAGGAAAGGATGAGCTGTTGTATCCTGTTTGATTTAATACTTCTGGCTTGCTGTGTATGTAAATTTGTAGATGTGTATCCCCGTTATCTGCAGTATCTCTCAGTCTCTTTCCACATCTGTGTGTGTTTGCTGCCAAAAAGTAACCTGATATTAGAAATGCTTTGATGCTGGCTGCATGTTAAAAACACGATGCTACCTGTTCTCTCTTTACCCAAACGATCTCTCTGCAGACGCGCGTGGAACAGGTAGCTCTGTTGATAGATCTTGTTTTGCCTTTTTTCAGTTGTAGGCTGGTCTGCAGAGTTTCATGACAGCCAGAATGGCTTGTTTCAACACTCAGGTCTCACAACACAATGTGGTGCTTCAGAAAAAGCCTCGGAAACTAAAAATACAGCACACGCCATTATCCTGGCTACTAAGTGGCACGTTTTCCATCATATCAGCTACAGAAGAACTGTGGTCATCCAGTGAGCCGTACTGACCTCCTGCTGGTCCAGAGCTTGACTGTTGTAAGGTAGAGCAAAGTCACAGTCTGGTATGTGGTTTATGCAGTAGTTGGCAGCAGCCTGCGGGTCTTCCACAATTAACAGCTGCTGAATATCTCCCTGGAATAATAAATAAAAAAGCACCCCATCAGTGCAATGACAAACTAGGTGCTGCTGCAAAGTGAAGAGACTTTATGAAAGAAGCTTGAAACCAAACCTGAAATATTTACAGTCTGCTACACCAATGCACTGCAGCAGGACAAGCACTAATACACAAACAGACGTTGTAGACATTTAAATGCACATGGCACGATCACCCAGAGTTGTTAGGGATTACACAAGAGTTAAAAAGCCACCCCACCCCGTCAGGACCTTTAATTTCTCACCATACCCTGCAGGCGTTGCCAGAGAATATTTACAAACATGTGCAGAGACAGCAGCGCTGCACCCTGCAGCACTGAGCCCAGAGCCTCTGTCGGCTTCTGAGTCTTTACACCCAGCATCTCCACCTAACAACTTCTTTTCTCTGGCGATGAAAAGAAACCAGAGGAAAAATTAAGATGCTTGTCAAGAACAAACATAATCATATTTGCCTCGCGTCATTATTACGTAAATATTACATGATTTTTATGTATTACATGAACAGTGGCTTTGATTGAGCCAACTGAATACTCTTTATTTGGTGTGAACAATAAGAGTTAAAAATGTTAATAACAGCCAGTGAGTTTAGATTAAAGTGCATTTAGATGAGTTTATCTGTCTTTTTGTACTTCACAAAATGAATAAAACATGTGAAGAAATAAAAAAAAATCCTTTAAATCTGGAAAACCTGACCAACAAGCTGTAGAAATAATTGTGTCAAACAAAAGCTTCAGGATTTTGATTAAACTACAGAACCCAACCAGTGTCGGTGATAGTTCATTGTAAACACACTTCCAGGTGAATGGTATCCAGGGACACCAGGGCAGCCATCTGTGATAAATTAGGTTTGATTAATTGCTTGATTTTGTGTTAATTGTTGTTCCATTGTTATTTTTATTGCCTGAAGCATCCAGAGGTGAAATAAAACACACAGATCATTTCTGTGTTTAAAACACAAGTTCATATCAGCGGTGCATGTTTCAACCACTGCACAACATCATAAACCCTGAACGGGCATTCAGATTTATGCCTTAATGCATCGAACATGAAAGGATTTGCTGTCCCAGGTATTCTTGCTGTTTTGGTCAAAGGTCAGAGTCAAGCTGAGGAATCTATTGTGCTTTAGGAGGAGAGACAAAGGGGAAAGAAAAGCTAAAGGGAGCTAATCCAAACTAATCTCATCTCAGTTTGAGATCAAAGCCAATCATTATTCTTCCTTTTTTCTTGCCTGGGGGACTCACTCCTCTGGTTTTAACCTGATGTGCACACCATCATTTCCTGATTAGGGCAGAGCAAGGACATCTAAAGAAGATGCATCACCTGAATTCAGACCTCAGGTTTGTGTGCAGATGCTCAACAGTGTTTCAGAGTGACAGATGGGCTTTTTTCCCCTTTTTGACTGCGATAAGGTTTAAAAGCAAACCAGCAATCATCCTATCACGCAAAACTGCACCTCACTTTGATCAGATCTGACTTATCTCGTACCTGATGCAGATGAAAGAGCAGCTTGATTTTATGTTACTTATTTGTCTGAAAATGTAGTCTAGAGATTGTAGAAACGTGGTTTATTAAATAAACCTACAATTTTGTTTATTTCCACACTAATAATCTGCTACTTTGTCTCAGCGTGTCTACACCACTAAGCCATAGATTTTCTATACTGTTTACACTGACTGAGACAGAAATCCTTCACGTTCCCAAATAAATAAACTTTTGACTGGATCTGTGCAGATCTTAGCCGTGTGCACACAGCAGCCCATAATACGCGCAAACAGGCAGTGTTGATGTTTGCTTTGCTGCAAAAACAAGAGTGATGCGTTTGAACAGCAAGCTTCTGTGGTCATTTGTAGGGAATCTGGAAGCAATAGGCACATTAGTGACTGACCACAGTCAGCCATGCTCCCACGCTGAGCTCCCATGGCAGGAGAACAGGGTCGGATCACTGCTCTTCCCCAGAAACGGGGCCTGGGAACAGAAACCCAGAGGTCAGCCTGCTTGACTTCTCTCCCTCCATTGCCAGCATCATCTAAGGTGTGCAATGCTCATCCACAAATATAGCGTCAACATTCAGAGATGTACAGTATATGAGCAGAATAATGTCAAAATGTAGGGAAAAAAGCTACATTCAAGTGAAAACTAATGATTAAAGCATTCTTCACTCCCCTCACAGAAAACAACAGTTACTGCATTACCACAAAAATGCACAAACTGGTGTGAAAAATGATGTTGATGATAGATTATAGAGATCAACTAATGGCTATTAGTCATCACTGTAAATCAGACGTTATCCTTGCCGTGACTCTTCACACAAGGCGAAGAAGAAGGGCATTGGGAGGGATCTGTGAGCTGTGCGAAAGAAAAAGAAAACATGTGCTGGCCACAGTGACAGGGAGACCTCATTTCATAACTCGAGAGGGAAATAAAACATCATAAACTGGAAAGTGCCTACAAGCGTGAAGGGTGGCTTTAGGACGCATATAACAGGACATTTATAAGTTCTCTATGTATAAAATACCCAACAGCTAAAGGTTTTCATCGAACTTCGAGATCAAGGAATGTTTTTTTATTTTTTTAATGAAATGAACAGGAAAAGTTTATTTTACTCCATTAACCTTGTAAAGATAGTTAGGAAACAAACAATTAATATAAAGCAGCACAAAAACAAATCAATTATTTGAAAGTATAAGTTTCAGAGCTGCAGCAGGTAAACCGCCGTTATCAGTCCAGTTTATAACAATGCATCAACTATATTTTGTAAAGTACATTTCTGAGTCATAAAACTGAACATCTATTGCTTTGCTCTATTTTTCCATTTATTCTGTGATCCACAAGTAAGAAGACAATGAGCCCTGAGGACATGGAAGGGGAAGGGGCTTGAGCTGATCTCAATTTCATGCTGTTGGTGAGAGATTTACTGGGGCCCCACTGGGAATGACAATTGAGAAGAGGTCGAGTATTGTCACGGGAAGTAGAGAATGACTGACAGTAAAGGTTATAGGAACCGGAGACAGTCCAACAGTTTGGTCCGATTCTTTCTGTGTGACCTTTGGATGTATTCTCGTGAACACCTAATGCTAAATGATTAAAAGTGTCTCTCTGCTTTAAAGCAAGTTAAATGGTCAGATAAGTCATGGAAACGCCCTAAGAGGGTTACAAAGTGTCAACTTGTTTCTGCTTATAAAAAACAGCAGTGAGGTTTTATCATTAAAGAGGGTGAGCCACTGCAAACATTCAATCAATGTTGCTAATGTTTTAATGGAACAATGGCCTTCCATACTGCATTACATAAAGTCTCTGCCGTCATCATGGGTGGTGAGACCGGGCATGTCTGAACAGCAAATTCACTCCTCCCTCTCCACCTGAAGCATCTCTTTCTCCTCACGCCTTTTATTCATGTTGCACCTGATTGACAAAGGCCCCCGTCACCTTAAATCCCAAACGAGTTTCATTAGAAATAAAAAATGGCTCCGAGCGTTTATAGAAAAGACAGATTTCTGCTTCTTACGTTACAGTTTTTCTGACATTGGTCCCACATTGGCTGTTTTGTACCGCATGATGATCTGTATGATCATACACACAGGTTTTGTAAATATTTACACTTTTGGGATCTGGTGAAATTTTAAAAATAAGCAAAGCTTGTAACTTGTGCAATCACTCCTCACTTCCCATCGCCCTGTTTCTCTCTAGACTACTACAGAATAAACACACGTTTTAAATCACATCGCTAACCAACAATGAACCCACAATTGATGACAGCTATACAATTTGGCAAAGTCAAACGCATTATTCTTTCTATCCGACCTGTCAGTTTTCTTAAAGACAATGAAAACTATACAAAAGAGAATGAAACAACAGGAGGACTTTGAAATGACCCGTTAACGGGTTTGAGATGCTTTCATAATGCCAAACCTCAAAAACTTCTTCATCCAGCAGCCGTGTTCCAAAAACCGTGACGCCGTCTGTGCTGACAGCAACATCGTCCCCTCGGAGCAGATCCAGGGTCTCTACCTTCTCACAGTCCAGGTAAAGGCTCACGGTCTTGTCTTGCACACTAAAAGCAACCCTGTGCCATCTGATAGAATAGAGAGTTAGAAGATTAGTGTGATGAAGAAAATCGTAAAAACACAGAAGCAAGAGAGTTTGTGTTTCTCACTGGACTGCGACTGCTGCCGACAAATTGCAAACCGCATGTCCACAAGAGTTTTCAAATTTCACAAAACCTCTCAACGTTTCTGACGCGGGTCACTCTCTGAAAACCATCTCACACCCAAACACATTTTAAAAACGTGAGGCAACTTTGAGAACAGTCGGCGATCAAACATCACATACAATTTGGAAAAAGACATTTTTTAGAACGTTTGTATATTTTCTCATAAACTAGTGTCCAGCTAGCCACAGCCAGCTCTCTCTCTCCTGATAATAACTTTTTGTTTTCATTGACTTTTGCTGTGCTAATGCTAGTTTATCCGTTTAATTATAGATCCACTAGAATAAATACAATAAAGTTTATCTTTCACCAAATACAATATTTACTAAGACATCACAATATAACTATAGACACATTACTTGTGTGTGTGTGTGTGTGTGTGTGTGTGTGTGTGTGTGTGTGTGTGTGTGTGTGTGTGTGTGTGTGTGTGTGTGTGTATGTGTGTGTGTGTGTGTGTGTGTGTATGTGTGTGTGTGTGTGTGTGTGTGTGTGTGTGTGTGTGTGTGTGTGTGTGTGTGTGTGTGTGTGTGTGTGTGTGTGTGTGTGTGTGTGTGTGTGTGTGCCTGCTCTGTCTTCTCGATCCCCAGTGAGTCGTGGAGGATGGCTGCTTATACTGAGCAAGGATTCTCTGGAGGTTTCTTCCTGTTAAAAGGGAGTTTTCCTCTCCACTGTCGCTGCATGCTTGCTTAGTATGAGGATTGCTGTATAGTCACTGACACTAGTCAGTGACTTGATGCAATTTGCTGGGTTCCTTATATAGGAAACATTATTTCTGATTGGCTTAATGAACTGTGAATTGGAATGTTTATTATGTGAAGTGCCTTGAGACGACTCTTGTCGTGATTTGGCGCTCTATAAATAAACTTGAATTGAATTGAAAAACTGTTGCAGCCTTGTGAGATACTGGCTTGTCTTCTTTCACAATCCTCACAGTTACAAGTTTGCCTCATATTCAAGTAAGCCAAAGATTAAAAACTTAAATACATAGAATAACTCCTCTGATAGAGCAAGCACTCAGCACCGGTCAAGCAGACTGAATGATAATAGCAGAGATGAACTGTGGATATTTGAGGTTCCCCAGAGAGGTTTATCAAGTCTTTGAAACAAGTAGTCTGGCGAGCCATCTATACATGTGTATAAACACTCACTGGCCATTGTATTGGGTACACCTGTCCAACTGCTCGTTAACGCAAATGACTAATCAGCCAATCACATGGTGGCAACTCAGTGCATTTAGGCATGTAGACATGGTCAAGATGATCTGCCGCAATTCAAACCGAGCTTCACAATGGGGAAGAAAGGTGATTAAAGTGTCTTTGACGCTGCAGATCTTCTGGGATCGTCACACACAACCACCTCTAGGGTTTACAGAGAATGGTCCCAAAAAGGGAAAATGTCCAGCACCTTACAAGTAGCTGCTGGCCTTGCCGCACAAGCTCACTCAAGAAAAAAAGAATCGTGTTTTTTCAACGATGTCAGATTTATATTTTTTCAATGATGCCAGAGGTCAGAGGAGAATGGCCAGACCGGTTCAAGCTGATCGAAAGGCAACAGAAACTGAAATAACCACTCGTTACAACCAAGGTAAGCAGAAGAGCATCTCTGAACGTACAGCACGTCGAACCCTGAGGCAGGTGGGCTACGGCAGCAAGACCACACCGGGTACCACTCCTGTCAGCTAAGAACAGGAAACTGAGGTTACAATTTGCACAAGGTCACCAAAATTGGACAATAGAAGATTGGAAGGATGTTGCTGGTCTGATCAGTCTGGATTTCTGCTGCAACATTCAGATCGTAGGGTAAGAATCTGGCATTAACAACATGAAAGCATGGATTCATCCTGCCTTGTATCAACGGTTTGCGCTGCTGGTGGTGGTGGTGTAATGGTGTGGGGGGCATTTTCTTGGCACACTTTAGGCCCCTTATGTTTCCAGTACCCTGTTTAATCTATGTCATGAAGGATTACGGCAGTTCTGAAGGCAAAAGGAGGTCCAACCCGGAACTAGCAAGGCGTACCCAATAAAGTGGCCAGTAGCAAAACAATTTTTTTTAATCAACAACTGTCCATCTAGATATCTATATTTATATCATGTGCATATCAAATAAATAAAAGTCTGGCCCAAGCCTGTCAGGTGTTTAGAACAACAGCACTTATATGTCCTCAAACTACCTACTTTCCATCTGCCAGGTTGATCTTCTTGAAGATGGGATAAAGTTCTGGAGTGGGCTGTCCGTGCTGGTCCTCATACAGAAAGACAGGTGACCGACCCACTTCAAGGCCGAGCTGCTGGACCCCCTGGTCATCATAAACCGAAAGCAGGAAGGACTGGGAGCCCTTTTTAGCCCTAACTGTCGTCATCAGGGAGAAATCTTCAGGAAAATTGGATTCTGGATGAAGAGGAGAGAGGATGGGAGGGGAAGAGACGAGCAGAGAGAAGAGTTGTTAAGTCATAAAGAGCAAAGCACAGCAGGGAGCATACATTTTCATAAAACGAAGGCACCGCCCGCTGCCAGAGAGACCTAGATAAAGATAATGATGAAAAATATCGCTCATGAAAGCACTGAGTGCCCAAGAGACGTAAAAACAGTTTAGTCGTATTTCTTAACTCTTACTGAGAGAACAATCCTTCACGGATGGTATAAATTTTAATGCTTTCTGCCATTAAAAGAAATCTTCCAGTATTCCTTTGCTGTGGTGGACTGAGAGGATTTTCTGTATGCGGTCGTGAAGGAAAACAGTCTAGACAGTACCAGGGAATAGCTGTTTAGTGGGAGCGCTGAGCTGGATCTTTTTGATCTTGTAAGCCAGGTCCATCTCCTCGGTTCCCCTCCTGCTGGTGCAGAGACCAGCCTCCAAGGACACCCCCTCCATGTTCTCTGACAACCCAAGCACTCGCAGAACATCAATGGGATCAGCTGGGAATGGAAATGAAGAGAAAATGAACCATCTGTCTGCAGAAGTGGAGCAGATTGAGGAATCATTGAGTTCTGTTATTTTATACTCACAAATTTAGTTTAGCTTTACTAGATTATTTGTTGCCTTTTGTGTAATCTTGTCTCTACTTTCTATGAAAAACTCTTTAAAAAAACACTTATGACAGAGAAAAGCTTGTGATGTACTGACATTTTAATTTTATTGTGGCTTATTTCTGTCTGGCTCACTTAAATGCTGGTTTTTACTGAGCTGAAGAGCAGGATTTAGCATGGCTGGGAGCTGGTTTTAAAGTTTGGTGCCTTCCTGCTTCCTTTGATTTGGAAGAAACAAGCTCCTCTGAGATGTGGCGGCAGGTGGCCCGGCTTCTGTGGTTGTTATTATAGGATGGGGCGGTACGCTGTCTAACCCATAATCCTCCGGTAGTACACATGACAGCTGACACCTGCACACTGCTACAGTACAACACATCTGCATCACATTCATCATTATCTAAATCTAAACTTTGTCTCCGTGAATGAATTGTTTTGTGTAGAAAAATTACACAAATGTTTCCTAAATTTTCTATTTAATTCAAATAAAAGCATTAAAATGCACAGAAGTATAAATATGGTGAATTTGCTGGATTCTCTAGAATGTAAAGCAAAGGCATAAATAGTAACTTTAATTGCATGTCTGTAAACCAGACACATCAACTGTTTAGATGGGATTTCTAGTGAAAATACTCTGTGTACATAATCAAGTTCAATTCATTCTACTGGCCCCCACAGATATGAACCTTGTTTCAGTCAATAGTTTCTCTCATTCAGCTGAGTCTGTGCTTTATTTGCAGTCCGCAGCTCTTGTTATTAGATGTGTGTGGATGAAGAGCGTCGTGAGCATTAGCCAGGATCAGAGCTCCCACCAGCTGCTACGGAGCGCTGCTCAGCACGGCATTCCAGGTGTCTCAGACAAGGATCCTAAACTCAAATAGCCTCCTGAAGCTCTGGCTGCTCGGAGCTCGCCTTTTATTCTCCTTGTTAATTAAACATGTGGTGAGAGTTTACTATTGCCCAAACACTATTTGCAAAAATGAATGCATTACATTTTTTTCACCTTATTTATTTGCAAACCCCCCCCACCCATTGTGTCACCCCAATCAATGTTCAACCACATAAAGAAACGTAATTCCCAGTTGCATAATATCAATGGATTACTGAGTCAAACTGCATACAAATCATGAATAATTGGCTATGAGGTTGACAACACTCCGATAAACACCCACAGCCACTGGGTTTATTGCAAATGATGTCATCATCGCCCTAATCTACAAAAACGTCACAAATGCATGTCTTCCTGAAACAAGCAGCAGTGTATACGCCGACAACAGAACCAACTACAGATTTTGCCGTAGTGAATGTGATCATAAAGAAGGTTGTGTTATGAATGTTGTGGGGGTTTTGTTACCACTGTTTTTGTAGTTTTAACCAATACATTTGAATATAATCCCAAATGCAGGGTTGGTCATGGCGCACACACCAATATAAATGATTTCTTGTCACGGGTTATCCACGACATTACTTCACAAAACAATTCACCGATGAATACAAATGTATAGATCTATTAACTTTGAACACGTCTGTGTGGGGCTGGACAATAATTCAATAACAATAAATATCTATTGATAGATGTGTGGTGTGATAGAAGATAAATGGGTCAATACAAACTTCAATAAAAGGTTTTTTTTTATTTTAGATTAAAACTAGAGTCACTGCTTACTCCCAACCAACAGACACACTCCATCACCAAGCTCTTCCCTTTCAAACCAAAAAGACCGAACGTGACCTAAAGGTATGGCAGAGGATGCTTCTGACTTTCAGGAGAACCGCCCTCTCCACATTTAGAAAAATTGTGCATGAGCGAAAATACCCAGTTATCCTTGTGCACGCACTGCTTCCACGTAGCTGCTGGCCTCGCAGCACACGCTCACTCAAGAAAAGAAGAATTGTGTTTTTTCAACAACGTCAGATTTATACTTTTTCAAGTGCAGTTCCTTTTTTATTTCAATTTTGTACATTTTATTTTACGTGTTTCTTCTTCCACCTGTATTGTACTACTGCTGTCTGTCTACCTTTGCACCTTTTTCCTTGCCTGGCTTGTTTAGGCTGCAGTAGCATGATTCCCCCCCCCCCCCCCCCCCCCCCCCCGTGGGATCAATAAAGTATTTCCATTGGGATAAACTTCTCTGCTGATAACCACTAGGTTTGTTCTCCAATCAAACAAACAATTCTTCCCTGGAAAGTTAGAACATAATTGTAGTTAACTTCTTTTAACAGTAATCTGAAGTTAATTTCTCCAAATAGCATGCTGAACTTAAGCTTACCTGCAGAAAACCAACGACAGAAGTGTCTGTGGGGAGCCCAACCTTCGCTTTCAGCGCACATCATCTTGGAAAGGAATCTCCTAAAACACTCTGGTCTTGTTTCTCACTTCAGTGCCCATTCTCTTCTTATCATAGACTTCAAAGACAAATTTTCTCTTGTGACTTTCAGCCATTTTCAAAAGAACCCGGTGAGAATGGTGAGGTAGAGTGAATGGATGAAGGCGCGTATCGCTCTACGCCTAGCCTATCTAGCCTTTAAATGAATTCTTTCCTATGCTGCATCATCTCCACTGTAATCTGCGCTGTGACTTTGTCTTCTCCTTCAGCTCTTAACAGTAATTCCATTTGTGTGTACCGGTATTTAAATTTGTGTTTTTACGTGTTTTCATATCATGTCCTGATAATTGTAAAGCACATTGAATTGCCTCTGTGTTTGAAATGTAATGGTAAATGGTAAATGGCCTGTATTTGATATAGCGCCTTCTGGAGTCCTAGAACCCCCCAAGGCGCTTTACAACACAATCAGTCATTCACCCATTCACACACACATTCACACACTGGTGGGGATGAGCTACAATGTAGCCACAGCTGCCCTGGGGCGCACTGACAGAGGCGAGGCTGCCGAGCACTGGCGCCACCGGTCCCTCCGACCACCACCAGCAGGCAACGTGGGTTAAGTGTCTTGCCCAAGGACACAACGACAGCGACAGACTGAGCGGGACTCAAACCAGCAACCTTCCGATTACGGGGCGAGCACTTAACTCCTGTGCCACCGTCGCCCTGTGTGCTCTATAAATAAAGCTGCCTTGCCTTACACATAAACAGAATGCACAGGAAGTGAAAACTGACCCCGGAACGAGCATACACGAAGTATGTGTGAAAGCTTAACCAGAATGATTGACAGTTATGCGGACCAATGGTTCAGATGATCCACTCGGAAAAAAAAAGATCCTCCATTATACCTTTAATCAAGATGTTGCAGCAAGGAGTGGTGGAGGAAAGTGTCTCTAGAAAAGGTTACAGTAGTCACCAGCATGGTAATAATTAGATTGTACGAGTCTAACAATAAACAGACAACAGTTATTTGCTGAGTTTGCAGAGAATCGATAAAAACTAGGGGTGGGAATCAAAAACAGTTCTTGTTGAGAACTACTTCATACATACTTCCTAGGAATCGTTTGCCATTTTTGCAATCGATTCCCTTATCAATTCCTGTCAGCGCGAATGACATCACCACGCACGTTATGTAGCTTGTGCTGTGTAGCACACGCATTTACCCAGCCGGAAACATGGCGTCTAAGTAGCACAAAAGCTCGAAGGTTTCGTTATACGTCGTGAACACTCATCAAGGCGGGTGTTCAGCTCTGAGGAAAAGCAGCCCTACGTTGAATCCGGAAAAAATGAACATGCTGGTTTTTCAGGTGAAAATAATTTTTTATAAGCTGCATTTTTTTTCAAGTTGTTAATATTATGTGTGCAATGTTGTTATTGTTTTAGTAATTAAAATTGGGATATCTCCCACGCCTAGATACCAGGTACACTTGATTGTTTACCAGTAATAAACTGATGGTTATAAAGCAGAAGACCATGTGTAATTTTTTTTTGCTACCTATTGAACAACTCTGGATTTGATGAGGAATGGACTGATGGACAGAATCAACAATGGCACTGGTATTGATAAAAACATGTCAATTCCCACCCCTAATAAAGACCAAGTCTGGTAACACAATCGACTTGTTTTATCATAAAGTAATAATATGAAATTAAGCAAAAATTTATATTTATAGTTATCATTGAATATTGATATTGATCCACATGGTTTCTATAAATATGATTTTGTTCTATTTTGTCCATCCCTACTGTGCATTTTTGGTCTCTTCCTGTAAACTTTTTATTCCTAGGGTTAAAATCAGAATCTAAACACCAGAGTGTGACACAGCTCACTTATTCATTATTGTGTTGCTATTCCTGCAAGCAGTCAGCATTTTGGTGTCACTGATAAATGTACCGACATTTGGTTAAAGGTTTTGAATGAGGTCTGTTTGTAGACACTGTGGTGATGTGATGTTCCAGAAAATGCTCCAGTTCAGCAAAAAGTAACTTTAGGGTCCTCCTCTTGAGTCAGTCAGAGACTTTCCAACGTCTGCCAGGTGTGAAAAACTACATGAACGTATGAATGCAATGCATCAAAGATTAAAAGTTTTGTCGTTTTTTTGAGGTGATCTGAATTGTATCAAATATATAAATATTACATGCTTATAAATGATTGCTTAATAAAGGTAAAAAGGTGTAGTGGAATAAATCTACCTACATTTTCATTTTCAAGCTCTTTGTTTTGTTTTCTTGTTTTTTATTGGAAATCTTCCTGAGCTGCCTGTCTCCTCTCAGTCCGACAGAAAACACTTTGCCTTGCTTCCTACTTTTTCATTAGTTACTTTTGAACTAAGTAGATCAAAGGAATCTACCAACAGCAAAAACATTGGAGTATGCGCTGCGTGGCTGTGCCAATGAGGAGAAGCCACCAGAGTGTGGGCGATTAGCTCCACAGCAGCGGAGCGTGTCAGGCACAAATAGAGGACAGAAAGTACCAGAGAAGGAGTGGATATGAACGACCGTGTGTTA